CATATGTTGAGTAGATCTGACAAGGAAAGGCAACGAGCGTGCGCAAATTGCCTGAACAGACAGACCACAGCTTTAGTTAGAAACCAGAAGGCAGGAGACTTGTTCTGTAAGAATCAGGGGGATGTTTCCAGTGCTGATTTTCACTAGCATACTCAGTCAGCGCTAAAGGCGCACCAAAGCACATGCTTTTGTTCATGTAAACAACTGCCCTTCAACACTTATTTCATACTTATACATACTCAAACCCGAACATGAGCCCACCTAAATTTGCAAAGCAGTGGTTAAACAAGGGCCGAGCCGAAAGCGTGGCCGTATCAAATTAAGAGCCAAAGCATTCAAGATTCTCTAGACCAACACAGAAATAATTCTTATTCCTGCTTTTCTCTCACAGATTTGCAGTGTTTGTATACACTAGAGGACAATATTTTTACAATTAATTAGTGTGGGTATATATAATGCAATCTACTACCACAGAAAAACTTCATTTCTATAAACTTTTGTGCCAATTTTATGACTGCAATCTCAGTTTGCATATTCCAGTACTTTCAGCTGAAATACTCCAGAACACAGAAGGCTAAGGTTTACTTTCACTCTCCAATTGCTTAGCATCCATGCACTGCTTGCATCTCTAAGCACTTGACTCTAATACTTAGGCCAATTCAGAACATCCTATCTCTGACAATGTCCGGCTAATTTAATCAGATACACATCTGTATGATATTTTGAACATACGAAAGGTCAGTTAAACATTAACTATTGTTACTCATAAGTCTGATATTTTCCCATGTATGGTTGTAGACAGGAGCACAATTACTAGACAGTCAAATGCCTCTGAAGTCACTGTCATATGAAGCTAGTAACAGAACATGGTATAGTGGTCTGAAGAAAAACAGCATCTCTTAAGTTTACTTCCATTAAGAGAAAATTTCTCAAAACTTGCAGGTTTGAAGGGTGGGTTTAAGATTTAAAAAAAAAAAAAAAGAAAGAAAGAAAAAGAAAGAAGCTCTTTGCAACTTCATAGACCTTTTAGCCTTACTATAGCTAAACTAAGACTGCAGCACTATCCAGTTTTAGATGGCCCTGTGCTGACATCAGTGATCTCAAGTTCCTGAGAACTTCTGAACTCAGAAATGCAGAGAAGGGTGTGTACTTGTTTCTTTTGAAGCCAATAAAGCCTTAAAAACAGAATATGTGGTCAGGAACACCTAGAATTACAAATTTTATCAGAAAAACTCATGGTACTAACTTGTTCAGGTTCTTTAAACCAAAAAAATTATGTTGTTATTTTCATATGATCAAGTACAAAGTTTACAGCACACCTAACTTAACTAATCAGTATAAGGGAAGTCCCTATTTAAGGCACTGAATTATGCACAGATCTATAATGGACTATTTAAAGCCTCCACATAAAACAAAGTCAAATACAATTAGTAAAAAATTAAGAATTAAACCAACATCAAACAGGCCTTTACCAAAGCATCTCCAAAAATTCTTGTTTCTGCAAAAGTGAATTATCAGCTATAAAATAGCTCTACTCCATGTGGAGCTAGAACCTGATTTCTTTTAGGCCGCAAAGGTCAATTTCAATTTTCTGGATATTCAGCTACGCAATATAGCGAGCAAGAATAATCCATGGCCTTCTACATTAGGCTCCAACTTTGTGCTGACATATATACTATGTTGTTAATGATAATCCTGTAACGTTATGTTACACCATCACTGAGGAATGCCACAACCTACTAGAGAAGGGTGTAAGATGCAGTCATCAAGACTGAAGATTCATGCTTTCTCTTCAGATAATAATTTAAGTAATACCAAAAAGCAGCTCTCGACCGGCCAATTAAGTACTGGACTTGAGATCAGATATATTTTATAATATTGCATATTTTAATCTCTTTCTTAACATACCTACATAAAGTTTGTCACCTAGTTAAACTTCACGTATATCAATAACTTTGCCTCCATCAACAGTTTGAACTAAAGCAGCTTACAAGTTCAGCTAGAACAGAGAATAACACTGCTGCTCAGTATATTCTTTCAGTTATTCAAAACAGATTCGTACAAAAATTCAAGTCACCTTAACACAGTGGGAACGAGAGGGAGTTTAGAACTTATTTTCTTGTCTCTCTGTGCTTTTTTTATACATAAGAGGGAGCGCGCATGCTTTGAGAAGAATTTTCCATTTATAGGCATTCTCTAGGCACCTAATTTGGAAAGGATGGAAACAAAACAAACGAGCACGACACTGTACTGCCAACTGAAAAGTAAGACCTACTGAGAAGCGCTTTTACTTTTTCTCCACGGCATTACAACCTATACAAGTCTAACTGTATGTTAAATTCCAGCAGTAAGAGCTTGGGCAAGGTTACTCTTTTCTTCCTAAAGAAAATAGCAAATTAAGGAGTAAATCGAGTTTGAAAACATGGATCAGAAGATCTTGATAGATCTTTTTGCATATATTCCAGAATGCCTTTATCATGCACTCCTTCATAAGTAAACATCGTACTGCCCAATACAGACTGGCAGAAAGCTCACGTCCCAAAACAACCAACGTATCCAGTCAGTTCAGATATGAATATAAAAGACATCAGCATCCTAGCTCACGTAGGGAAAAAGGAAACACTTAAATGTCTTCATATAACCCAGCCCACAGTGGTCGTCTTAGGCAATAAGAGTATGATATAAAGAGAGAATCAAGCGACACCTAAAAATGACCAGAACACAAATTGGTGATTGTACCTGTTGCATCTTCTTGTATTCTCCCACCCTGGCATAGGCCATGAAGAGATGAGAGTGATACTCTTCACTGTTGGGAACCTTCTTTACAGCTGCCTCATAAAGTTTAGTTACCAGCTCCGCTAAACCAAAAGCAGATGCTTGAGTTAAGATACTTTTGGGATAAAGTTTAAAGAACAGCTACCTTAAGATAGCATCACTGATACTCTGAAGAATAATCTGATTAGGCTCATCAACCACAGAAACAGTACTCTTTCTCTCCCAGAATCCCAAGCACTACAACAAACAGTAGTCAAAGGAAGAATGCGTTTCAAATAACAAATACAGGGTTAACAGCAACAACCGAACTGCTCAGAAACAATTCCAAATCTTTTCTTCAGTAAGTTTATCTATTTTGGATCATTAAACTGAATCAAGACTTGCATTCATGGCAGACTACATGAAGTATGAATCAAAACATAGAACCTTTTCAGAGCCTAATATCAAATCAGTTGGCTCTTATCACAGGTTTGTCTATGTTACATATCTCCTGTTATTTCCCAATTGCCTACTATTTTAATATTCTTAACAAGCAAAATACTTCACAATATACATACTAATATAGGCCCTTCATAACTAAATAGTTATGATTCTATGACATGCAAACTTATCTTACCTTTCCCCCTGCAAGAAAAAAAGATTCTTTTCCTTACACACAAAATTATATTCCAATACAATATTAAAAATTAATGTAGTTTATCTTTCATAGTTTTAATATAATTTATGAATCCTCCACGTATATACATAGGCCATCTAATCAATTATCTTACAAAACCCAAAGTGGAAGTGCCTAACATCCACTACTTCCCCCCCCCCCGAGTTATACACCTAAAAGCTTAAAATCTGCGCTTAGCGTTTAAGCAAGTTGTTTAGAACCACAGAAACACTCTCAACATAGCCAGGGCTTTACTTTGTTTACGTTAAAGTTGGAAAAAACATTTCACATTCAAGAAACGGTGCTTTAACACCACATTACATATACATACATAAATACACGTAAGCACACGTAGAAAGAAAAAACTAGGAGAGTATGTGCAACTGATATAGGTCAATAAATGGTTGCAGATCAATTCCAGATATCCATTCCTACAAAAGTGGTTTCACCCCATTGTCATTTTCTGCTACAGTTTGACAGTATACATTGCTGTTACCACCAAGAATCACAAGGAGTTGCCAGAAACAACTGTTTAGAGCTGTAGATAAGCAGCATATAAGGTTTGCTTTCTTTCAGAAAAGCATAGGTGATTTTACTTGATCACTTCAATATTCATGATTTACTATGCTTTAAATATCCTATCACAACAACGAACCGTATTTAAAAAGATAACCCAGGCAAATGACAGGTCAGGAGCTCCCTTCTGTTTGTAACACAGCTTCTTGGGGTCTGAAGTCATGCAGTATTAAGTGCCTTCCAAAACAGCGTGTATGATCTGTCATCTTTATCATATGTAGTAACAACAATTTCCAATAGCTTTCATTAAAAAAAGTGAACTCATATGCTGACCACGATGGATGATTAGCATGCCACTCATTTAAACACTGTGTACACAGTAAGGTTAATGAGAGGAAACCAAAACAAAGTACACTGCTTTATAGTGATCATCTAGAGTTTTATCAAAGCAGCATTTGTAACAGGTGTCAAATGAAGCATTTAAATTCACTGAATGTCATAATAATGTGCCTATACTTGAACCCTGGACTTCACACTTTCCTGTGAAAACTGCCCAGTTTTTGTTTTCTGCCACAAAACTGAGGACCACACGTATTTTTAAAAGAACATACACAATTATGATTTTTAAGCGAGGCCAAGGCCGGGGGGAGAAGAAAACCAAGTAAACTTACGTCTATGCATTTCCCGATATAGAATAGTTAGTGCTTGCAAGGAATTGTCATCTGTGGGTTCAAGCGCTGCTACTTCTTGTGCCAGAGTATATGCTTCATCTTGCTTCCCTGTTCTCTGCAAGCCAATTGCTTTTAGAACCTATTGATATAACACAGAAGCAGCTGTTAAAAACCACAGTTGGCAGTTACCACTGAAAGTACTTTCACTCCTCGGGAAGAGAAGGTTTGCCCAAGCACCTAATCGCTTCTACAGAATTTCAGTCTTTATTAAGTTTCTAATCCATATGGCTGTGGAGAAAAGCTTCCAGATGTGAGCTGCATCAAATGCTGTGACTTTGCATTTCTTAACGCACATGCAGGCCACTCTTAAGGCATCAGACACCACTCAGCTCTTCCTGCCTGTAGACTGAAAATTGGCCAGTCCTGCCAATTCACTCTTTCTTTTAATAACTGGCCAGGCAGAAGTGACATAAATGAGATTCAGGTCAATGACACTCACTTCAGCTTGGGAAACTTCCAACAAGTAGAAGCAGTATGAAGTGGAAAGGAAAATCCATAAGCAGAAGAGTAGAAAGATACTCTAATATTCAGAAAACTGAAGAAGGAACAGAACCCCCTTCAACAGGGGTACAGCAAGGAGAACAGTGAACAAGAGGTGAGAAGCAAATGCCTCAAAAAATCACGTGGTTATATTTTACTAGGGAATGCACCTTCAAAGTAAATGTTTCCATCCAAACTACTTATCTAGGTTGCTTTTATGACCACAGACAAACACGCACCTCAACCTAAAGTCTAAAATAGACATTTTTAAGGCAGAACTTACCTGCCACATTTGCCTGAAGTGGCTATGACAGGGATCCACTGTCATAGACCACTAGCTCAGGCATAGCTACCTACACTCTAGTCGTTAGAAGCAACTCACTCAAAGAATCCGTACAAGTTTTCAGGGAAACAAGAAATTGCGTGATTCAGAACAGTCAGCAGCATTCCACAGGGTTTAGGAAGCGCTGTGGTTTGCAGAAGATCACAGACAGTGCTTGAAAAGCAGAACTACACTCACCAAATGAGATCAATGAACAGCAGCCACACTTACCTTTGCACAGTGAAGATCCTTGTGTTTTTTGAGCAATTTATCTGCTTGCTGGATCGCCATTTTATTATTGCCATTATCAAGATAATCTGTATAAGAAGAACATACATAGTATTATAAGAGAACACAAGACCGTTCTGGGATGCTACCTCTAATTTTATTGTGGAGTATGCATTGTCATGCCAAGTAGTACAAAAATGCATTTTCATTTTACAATTACTACCAAACCAGAAGTTCAGGAAACATGTTATTTTGCAGACCTAAGTATTCATCTCACTGTATTAGTTTTAGCCTTTCAAACAAACAAGCTCTTGTAATTACTCCACATAGATCATCATAGCAACAAAAGAGCTATATCATACAGTGTAGTAATAGCTTAGCTCTTTGCTAGCAATGGAGCTTACACTCTTTGCTTTAGTGAAAGCAGATATTAATTCGGTATGCCTTTGGGAGACTTTCAGTGACTTTTAACAGGCAGTAGTTTAAAAACTGGGCACTCACAATCTATCAAAGCATTAAGTGAGATTGGCCACACGACCCAAACTTCAGGCAGAGCAAGTCTGTCCCATAATGGAGTATCGCTATGCTTTAGCCAGGCCAGTTTTAAAGACAACAAAGAGAAGTTTCCAAATTTTCTAGGGGAATATTCCACTGTCTAGTAAGAAATCTAACTGTAGAAAAACCCTGTCTCAAGATTATTTTCTCCCTCTCTCAGCTTTGCATTTGTTTTCAGCTTCATCTACAATGCATTATCACGTTATCGGAGAACTACAAGTATCAAACTAAACAAGCAATTTTAGATTAGAACACGATCCCATACCCTTCCTCTTCCTCAAGGATTATTAACTTAAACCTAGCAGAAAAGCTTAGCTGCACCTGACATGCCAAAAAGGAACAGCCTGTTCATGCTATTCTGGCCCTTCCCCAACCAAACCATGAACAGAGCTAACGCGAGTTAACTGAAGTTACATTACACATCTTTTTCCTCTCTAAGACCATAGTTCTCATTGTAAGAGAGGACCCTTTACTGAGTTGGGAGGTGACCTTTCGTAACTCCTCAGTATGTTGTACAAAGCGTGCATCTACATCAATGACTTTCTTCCCAGCAGCTTCAGCACTTGCTTCCACGGCTAAGTGAGCAGTGCAAATGCGAGTAAGACTCGCGGGACAGTTCGGACTAAATCTCAAAGGAGGCAGTCTGCCCACACTAACCAAAACAAAACGTTGCTAGATAAAATAACCAGACAGCTTGAAACAGTAATATATTGTCTTTATATGGGTTAGATGGCCATTTTAACTTACAAAAACCTATGACTCACCCTTAACATTAAAACTTAACAGTGAAGAGGATCAAAGAAAATTCAGAAACAGAACATACTGATGATCTCTCCATACACTGGTAGAGCTTTCTCGATTTAAGGATCTGGGTTGCACAGTTCACATACGCACAAATCACTTTCCAGTCTGCACTGCCTGTCTTGGAGTTGTTTTACAACTAGCTGTACGGATAAGATCTCTGCTTTAGGTCTTCTAAAGTAAATCAAACAAACCACAAACATCTCTAAACTGCAGCAGACTAAAAAGACTGTATTTTGCTAACAACAAATAAGTTTGTTGGAAGCCAGAGTAGTTGGCAACTTCCAAAGGAATTTAAGATAAATAAAAATATTGAAGTCTATATTAGTAGCAAGTCTGTAGATGCGAAGATATTCAGTGACTGGAAATGCAACACATGTACCTTTAGACGAAGGTACAATGAATTAAGATGAAAGATAAACATATCCGACAAAGAATCCTAGGTAATCAAAGCACAAGGTGCAAACTGAAAAGCACTGTTTTAAGTGAAACAACCAGATCCTGGACCTCATGCTGCACGTATCCAGCTTATGACTTTTGTCAAGTCAAACATTTATATCTTGAAAGATATATATCTTATTTAGGGCTCTGCATCACCAAAAATCGAATTTAAAATGTTAACACTGCAGGTGATGCTTTCTAAAACTAGTAGCAAGGATTTTTACAGATATCTCACTAAGTTATACTCCCCGAAATTATCACGTTCAAATATATTTCAACAACATCTAGTTTCAACTCGGTTGAAAAGCTTTTTTTTAAAAGAACACTTAAGACATGACACAAATTATAATGCAAATAATTGCATGTCAACAAAAACAGCAATCACGGCATAATCTAGAAAATTAAGAAAAAAAATCTTAAAGTTGTTACATAAAGGTAAACCGCACAGCTGCAATAACAATTACGTAACAAACATTTCACTTCAACACAACTGCACATTCCCGCTTTTACCCAAACACAACCGTCTTCACGGATTTCGCTGGAACACCAACGCAGAGGCGAGCCTCCAACGCGCGCTTCTCCTTGGGTCCCCAACAGCAAAGGTATTCCCAGCTAAGCTCATTCCAGAATGAGGGCAGGTCTCCTTACGTTTCTAAGGAGTTTTTTTTTTCCCCCCCCTCTCCCCCCACCCCCAGTATCGGAAAAGTTGAGGGTGTTTTCTGCCATCTCTATCCATTCTTCTGTCCCACAGACGAAGCGACACCGTAGCCTGGGGAAGTGCTTTTCTTTCCCGCTTACTTTCTCGGTATTTGCACAAACCGAGACAAGCTCCTCTATAACCACCTAAGCAATCCCAATTGCATGCGACATACTCCAAAATATTTGGGGACGGCTCAGTACAGGGGGTTCCTTAACCCGCCCGTCCCCTCACAAACGCTTCCCTCCGGCCTCCCCATCCACTTCTCCACCAGCCCGAGCGCCGCGGAGCTTCGCCGCGCGGCCCCGAGACCTCCGCCAACGCTCCGGCCCCTTTCAGCTCCACAAACGGTCCGAGGCCTGGCACGGAAACCAGGCCGACGGGCAGAGGCGGCCTGAGGAGGGGGCCCGGCCCGGCCCCGCCCGCCGCA